CCATCACTGTATGTATGTTTATAAAGAATTGGGGGGTGGGTGGGGTGTTAGTGATTATACCAGTTTGTGGGTCACTGTATATATGTATATAAGGAATTTTGCGATAAATACAATGCACTTGATTAAAACTGATTGTGGGTCACTGTATATACAGTGTTTGTACGTAATGAACTGTAGGTCATTGTTTATATGTATATAATGAATTGTGGAATAAATATACCGCATGTGATTATACGTGATTGTGGGACACTCTATGTATAATAATGTAGTGATCATCGCTGTTTGTGGGTCACTATATATATATATATATATATATAACATTGTGGGGCAGTTGATTGTATAAATTATATTGCGAGAGAGGATATCCCTAGAATATCTTGTTAAGATTCTCATGAATAATGTATCTCAGTAAATCATTATTTAATATGATCCGAAAGTACGTGAAAAGTAATATTGAAAATTTTATATTGAAATCAGCAAAATGTTCTTAATGATTTATTGTATTTTGTACATAAGTAAATATACATACATGTATATATCTATAGATATTTTATCAAACATTAATTCTTATGTCTTTTCATTTAGCATTGCAGCAAATAATATATATAGCAAAAGATAATATTGCGGGTCATAGAATTCATATATGAAGAGGATTGTGCGATGTATATAGTTTATCCCACAATGCTCTATATATATGAATGTTTTGACCCACAATTATATACAACATTTTTAATATTAACTCAAAAATTATATTATATATTATATAAGGACCATATATAACGCCTAAATTATGAATATGGCATAGCTATGCAATGTAGAAATGCGAGATCCCACAAACCAGCTTAGAGGGTCGATGCCCACAAACAACCTCATATACCTATATATATATATATATATATATATATATATATATATATATATATATATATATATATAAAATCAAGGAAAAACAGAATTTATAACTTTTCTTTCTTAAATGCTTCACTAGCATCCAAAATAGATATTGGTTCAAAACGGAGATAATTCGTTTTTGTATTTCATTTTTTTTTTTCAGTAAGAGGGATTCAAAGATGCCAAAAGAAGATAGCGGGGTTATGATGTAAATATTGCATTATCATTATTTTTGTGTATTTTATTTTATTTTAATATTTTTCTTGTTCTGTTTTTTCTTGTTGAAAAAGATTAGTGGTTTCCAAAATAGAAATCATCCAAGTTTTTGTGTAATAAGTTATTGTTTCCTGTCAGTGTGATGGATTCTGAAAGATCAAAACAAGATAGACGGGTCATAATGTAAATATTGTTTTTATCACTATTTGTTGTTGCTGATGATGTTGTTATTTTTGTTGTTGAAAAAGAACTTTGAATTCAAAATGGAAATACATGTTATCCATGTTTTTCTGGAAAAAAATATATATTATTATATTTTTTCACTTACAGTGCGAGGGATTCCGAGTAGCAAACACAAGAAAGAGGGGTCATGATGTAAATATTTAGTTTTTTTTTGTTGTTGTTATTTATGTTGTTGAAAAGGATAAATGATTTCAAATTCGAAATAATCCATGTTTTTGTTGTGATATTTTTTTTCCTTTCAGTGCTAGGGATTTTGAGACAAAACAGGATAGAGGAGTCATGATTTAAATATTGTTTTTTTTTTCATGATTTCTTGTTGCTATTGTTGTTTTTGTTGAAAAATAGCTTTGAATTCAACATGGACATAAATGTAATCCGTGTTTTTGTGGAAAAAAAAAATATATTTTTTTCCTTTCAGTGCGAGGGATTCCAAGGGGCAAATGAAAGAAAGAGTGGTCATGATGTTAATATACATCTTTATATTATTATTTATATTGTTGTTGAAAAAAGATAAAGAATTCAAATTGGAAAAAAATCCAAATTTTTGTTGTAATACTTTATATTTTTTTTATTTCAGTGCGAGGCTTTCTGAGATGTCAAAACAGGGTAGAGGGGTCAAGATGTAAATATTTTTTATCGTTATTTGTTGTTGCTGATGATGTTGATGCCTAAAAGGAGTTTTGAATTCAAACGGAAAATACAGGTTACCCATTTTTTTGGTAAAAAATGTATATTGTTACATTTTTTTCCCTTTCAGTGCGAGGGATTCCGTGGGACCAAAACAAGATAGAGAAGTCTTGATGTTAATAAAAGATTTTTATTTTACTTTTGTAAATCTATTTATTTCTTTTTTATTTATATATTTATTTTTTTGTGTGTTGTTGTCGTTGTTACAAAAAAAAAATAAATAAATAACAAATATAACAATTCTTAATTTCCCCTTTGTATGTATTTCATCTGAAACTTTTTTTTATAAAAAAAAAATTCTATGTAACGAAATGCTATTATATTTTGTTTTCATTTCAGAGCTAGAAAAGTCAAAAAGACGCCCAATATGCAAGTCTTGGGTACGAAATGAAGTTAGTTGACATGGCGAGCGTTGGGGCTGCAAATTCAAATTATGAATTGATGTTGACTGCCCAAATGCTATTTACTGGATATTTACAATAAATTCATATTTACAGAGCACTGTGTCGAGCAATGAATTTTGATGTGCTTTAATTACTGTTACCAAAAAATAAAGAAATATTTAAAATCAGTGTTTAATATCAAAAGATACATGTACAGGGGAATATTGTATGTATAAGTTATCAATAATATGAATACATCACACAAAATACCACATTTTACAACAATATGAAAATTACTTTGGATTATCTTCAATTAATTTTTTAATTTTCAAAAGATATATTATGACTTAGGCTTCTTCTGATGGAAAAAAAATACTCGGGTTTGAACTATCTTTATAATTAGATATATTCGATAAATATTTCTTTTCAAAGGGGACTTCACAGCAGATCTAAACTTCCCGTCAGGAACTTCTGTTTCTCAATAAGGTTTTTGATCTATGTTTTCCATGTAAGGGACCGTTCAAGGTAGCTCAGTCGGTAGAGCGCTCGCTCCGTGATCGGGAGGTCGTGAGTTTGTATCTCGGCTGCGACTGACCTAGTCGTTAAAATGGGTAGCAACTGTTTCTTCGCCATGCACTCGGCACTTTGAAGTGAAAGTTTGGGGTCCTTCGGATGAGACCTTAAAAACCGAGGCAAGCGTTGGCACGATAAAGATCCCTTACTGCTCAATGGCCCTGAGTGCCGAGTAAAGGTCAAAATTTGAAGCCCTTTACCGGCATACGGTGACGTCTCCATATGAGTGAAAAATTCTCAAGAGGGACGTTAAACAATATACAATCAATCAATCCATGTAAGTATTGTTGTAGTAAAGTATTAAATCAATCTTATAATTTATTTTTATATATTATCTGTACTTGTATTGTGTAAGATAATATGTGAACGTTTCGGATTAAGCGGCTTTAAGACCAAGGAGTAAAAAAACTCAGAGTTGAAATTCACTTATTATAAGATATGTGCAGTTACCATGCGCTAAAGTACAGGTCGACTGATGCTTGTTTGCATACAGTACTCTTAAGACTCAGTTTTTTATTTTTCGATTAAGTAGCAGCTGCATTGAAAAGTAAAGGTATACTTTTAGGTACCTGAAATCCAAACAGGTAATTGCAATTTTTTAATCATCAAAGAGATTGCAACAAGTTCCTCATCCATATCCGGATGTCCCGATAACGCAACCATTTTCATTACTTTTCGACTTGAGTTGGATCAATTAGTGGCTGAAAGCAATGTTATTAAAAGATGCACTTAACTGAAGGTCAAAGGGAAAGCGTTATGTTATTATTATATTTCCTTTGCAAGGTTCGATATAATCAGAGCGGAATTTATTTTCATCGTCAAGATTTGTAGATGACAACCAGGATTAAAACTTGTACATCCACATCCGGCAAAAGGAAGATCACTCAAAAAATCGGAGGTGGTATCAAGCATCTTCTTTTTATAATATATTTTTAGAGTTAAAATAGTTTATCAAAAAAATGGAACCTGTTTTTATTAATTGAGAAATATTCCTTATCTCAATGGATTTCTGATAACCAAGTCTCTGAGTAGACAACACAATAAAAGGCTACCATTTTTTGCAAGAGACATATCTTTAACGCAACAATATACATATGTATACCTACAAGCTATTTAAAGCTCGGTGCACATCAACATTACCGGTTAAGTACAATTGCCATTTAAAGATCACCTAAGAAATATTTGTTTTTTAATCATGTTTACCTGTGTTATTACACAACCCTTACATCTACTTCCTTGTTTTCAAAATGGTTGCCAGATTGTGTGTGTGTGTTCTATTGCTGTTTGCTGCTGGATATTGTTACCGTATGTAAATTTGTTTCAGTTTAGATAGATTTGATAATACTACCTGTATTTATAAATATTTCAGACTCTTTAACTGATAGCTGTCAAAATGATTTACTTTTAAAAAGTTTAAAAAGGAACAAGTAGGTTTTCCATTGAAAGCTATCTATGTTTTTCTGAATGCAGATATCATTGCAATTTTTTTTTAATATATTTTAGAAATAAACTTGAATACAAATGTATAACAATTCATAATACCTTATATTTTCCATTCGCAATAAAGTTGGAAGGGATATAGAGTAACGCAATTTTGTTTAGTTGTCAACGAGTGAGTTAGTGATCATGATAACGGGATCGATGTCTTTGCGAAATGATTCTCCCAAGAAATACATATATTGATATATAATAAATTAGAGGACATAAAATGAAAGTAATCTAAAAAAATAAAACATAAGTCATCTCTGGGCAATATTTAAAAAAAGATCACTATGTAATACATGTAATAGAAAGTCTAACAGAATGTGGAGGGTAAATATAAACTTTTCAGATATTAATTAACTTTTATTTAAGGACAGATGATACAAACAACTTTTATCTTTGGAGGAGATTTATTATCATGTCACAAGTTAAGAAAAGTGGATAATTCTTAGATTTTTTTTTCTCCTAGGAATTGAAAAACGAAATAGACTTGGGTACAGTCCACTAATTGTTTTCCCATAGGCGACAATGTTAACGTTTCTTCTCATAGCGATGTCCCTAATTTTCGTTCGGTAGAGAGTGACCCCTCAAATCAAAGCACATCAACTTGTCTTTCCTTGGTTAAAATCTCGAGGTGGCATGTCAGATTCGTTTTCCGGCAAAATGCGTCTCTCTGCGGGAACCTCTAAAAATGAAAGTGAAAGTAGGGGGATTTCAGAATTCTCACTGGCGTTATAATACACAAAATGATTCGGCTGATCTTCTTGATAAATTACATTTTCAAAGCTTTTTTGGTAGGAAAGATACTCCTTATCAACAAGTGTGAGGCTCAGTTCAGTACACCTGCCCAATTTTTTTTATGCAAGTCTGCAATTTAAGGAACTTGTAATTTTTTCTGCACTACTTTCTTCTCCTACCGATTCTAAAAATAATTAGTGGGATGTACCCAATATGAAAAAGCATTTTTTTGATTTTACAATATTTCACACTGTTTGTCAATCTAGAGCATAAGTAGAGACATCATGCCAAGTTTCATGAAAATTCAACAATTAATTAAGATTTTACAGCATTTACAGTTCTATATGTAATATCCTTAAAAAATGCTCCAATCTAGCCAAAACTGCACCCAAGTTTTGAGTCAAATTTTAGCCTATTAACACATTTATACCATTCTTAATCACCTTCATATCTTTAAATACATATAGTCAAATCATAATCAAGCACTTCATTGGGTCAATTTCACTTATTTTAAAAAATTAAAGTATTTCCGCACAAAAATGACCACTTTTCACCCTCTAATTCATAGTTTCTCCAGAAATGACAAAAAAATGAAGTTCACAAATACCCCGAAAGTAGTAAAATAAAAAAGTACTGATTATTTCCTGTCCATTGATGCATCATTCATGAAATTTGGACTATGAATGAAAAAGTTATAAGCCTTTATAATCCTATATAGAATCATTTGTTTCAAAGCAATTTTTATACCAATGCAAATTTACTCATCTATGACGTCACAATGACATCATAATAATGGATAGCTCAATACATGTGTATCATTACTTTTCCCGTACTTTTCATTTAAGACAAAATCAGTGCTTATATACTATTATCTACTTTAAAAAATAAAAATATGTGGTGTTGCAGATTAAATAAATAGTTCACTAAAGTTGTTTTGTTTCCATGGTAACCATTTTGTAATTTGTACGAAAATGAGACAAAATTTTGAATTTCCTGACAAATCGCATAATCAAATATTCATGAAATTTCAATTCTTATATCCGTGTAATCTTAATAATGCATAATTTACACAACAAAGATGTAGATCTAATTAATTTGAAATCTTAAATAAAAAAAGAAAATCTATATGAGCTGCAAAATGTATATAGCAGTGCATGTACAGATTAGTTATAGCTAAATACTTTCACATTCTGATCACCAATTCAATATGTAAATTTCCTCACCCCCACCCCATCCCCCTACTTCAATGATTTTTTTTTTCTAAAAACTTAAACTTACATATTTTGCCGACTGTCACATTTTGCTGGTTCTTTTTCAAGATGTATTCAAATGGGTGTGCATTTGCTGGCCAATAGTTTTAAACACCATCTGCATGGACCTCATGTTTTTCCTGTACCAATCACCACGAACCTAAAAAAAAAATCAATACAATAAATGGTACAATATCACATTTGCAGACAGACAGACACACAGACATTCAACACGTACAATTTTACCATATTCCTTTTATGCTCATTACTTGAAATCAATTAATTTAAAAAATGATTAATTTGCTCCCACCTGAAATCACACTGTTTACATTGGTAATTAAGTTAATTCAGCAGAATAGGTAAAAATCATGTTTTACTGACAATAATTGAACATTCAACAAATACATGTAATGCAATTGCTAAAAAATATGAGAAAAATCAGTTGATGTGCATGTTCACACACATCGTTTAACTCCCAGACAACTGTATACCCAGCTTGACCGCGCAACTGATCTGAAATGATGTATGTCAAGTATGCATATGTGACGTGCCGATCATCGACATGGTCCAAAAACATTAAAGTGTTATTTACAAATATCGTACTAAGGTATACCTCTTACCTCCTGTGTAAAATACAAATGCCCATCACCTATATACTGCTTAACACTGCCTGAACAGTTTTGATAACTTTCTGCTAAGTCTACTTTCACTTCGACCTTGACCCCGATTGAATACCGATCCCGAACTCATTTGTGAATTTTTGTGTATTGAAAATAAACCACAGTGCACAGTGGAGCATGTACTTCTACATAATTGCTTCTTAATCAAATTATACATTTATGATTCTGAATAAATAAATTATATAAATCGATACATTTAATCTACATGATACATGTGTAAACAATGGGCGATACATGTACGAGGATGTTGACTGTTCCATTGGGGGGGGGGGGGGGGGGGATAGACACTTTATATATGAATCAATTTGTTTAAAAATGTGTATCAACAATATAATAATTGTTTTTTTTCATAAATTTGAACAATTGAAAATAATAGAAAACAACAACTTTGAAATAAATTCAAGATTTATGACATCTTTCACTTACTTATAGGCTTCCTAATATGGGTACAGTCCACTAATTGTTTTCCCATAGGCGACAATGTTAACGTTTCTTCTCATAGCGATGTCCCTAATTTTCGTTCAGAAGGGAGTGACCCCTCAAATCAAAGCACATCAACTTGTCTTTCCTTGGTTAAAATCTCGAGGTGGCATGTCAGATTCGTTTTCCGGCAAAATGCGTCTCTCTGCGGGAACCTCTAAAAATGAAAGTGAAAGTAGGGGGATTTCAGAATTCTCACTGGCGTTATAATACACAAAATGATTCGGCTGATCTTCTTGATAAATTACATTTTCAAAGCTTTTTTGGTAGGAAAGATACTCCTTATCAACAAGTGTGAGGCTCAGTTCAGTACACCTGCCCAATTTTTTTTATGCAAGTCTGCAATTTAAGGAACTTGTAATTTTTTCTGCACTACTTTCTTCTCCTACCGATTCTAAAAATAATTAGTGGGATGTACCCACTTGGAAAATATAATATTTCAATCAAATTATAAAAATGGATAAAACACACTCATTAAAGGTTTACAGATGAAAATGAATTTCAAAATATGTTAGCTTGGTGCTAAATATGAAATATAAACTTTTGAAAAATATGCCAAGCCAGGTGAATTTTATGAGGAAAAGCAAAATTGTTAAAAATCAGTCCATATGATATGGGGTGATTTATACTATTTTGCTTTTCCTGATAAAATTCACCTGGCTTGGTATATGTTTTCAAATGTTTATAATACATTCTAAGAATCAAGCTAACATATTCTGCAATTTGTTTTCAGTTGTAAACCTTTACTGAGTGTGATTTGTCTAAATTTGTTTTTTTTTATTGAAATATTAGTAATACTTTACAAGTCTATTTCATTTTCGAGTCCTTAGGAGAGAAAAATCTAAGAATTATCCACTTTTCTAAACTTGTGCCATGATACGTAGTCTACTCCAAACAAAAAAAATGTTTGTGTCATCTGTCCTTTATCAGTATTAAAAATCCTTTTTTTAAATTTAATTATTCAATAAAAACCTTTATTAAAAGATAAAGAAAATGTTTAGAACGCATTTATGGAATGTTCAAATTTTAGAGTTGTTTAAATCAGCAGCGCTTTCCTCTCTCTCTTCCCCTCAAGTCTACTGTTACGAAGTACATTGAAGTTAAAAACAATCATGTTAAGTCTTTTTTATGTTTTAAATAGCTGTATTCTAGAACAATTTTTGACTTCCAGTATGCTAACATTATCATCATATTTTTAATCTTGCTACTTGAGCATGGATTGTTCGTCATTTATTTGGATGATAAGATACCTCCTTTTTAACTTTTTGACTAAATGATATGCAAAAAGGGGATGTGTAAGCGGTCGTAAAGCGTGTGAAAAGCGCAAATGACAAAAAAAAAAAAAAAAAAAAAAAACAGAGCTTGTCAATCATGCTCTACATAATTGGTTTAATAAGTATTACTTCGCGATACCTCTTACACTCTATAATTAGCAGCCACGTGTTATATATACTAGTAGTAGTATGTGTCTTTTATTAAACAAGCAGAGATCAAATCTGTTTGAAGAAGGATATGGAGAAAACGAACAGTATTCAATCTCAAAGTCCATAAAACAATACAGAATAAGAGCAGGGCAAACACGGACCCCCGAAACATCATAGGTGGGATCAGGTGCCATGGAGGAGTGAGCATCCCCTGCAAACCAGTCACACCTGCCGTGTGCTCCTTGTCATGATCAGGAAATAACGGAAAAAATCCGTCGACAATTCAGTGTATAAATAATGGACCAGCAATAGGTATGAAAAACGTCAGTCAGCGTTTGACTCAGTGATAAATTGTATTATTTGCTGACAAGATCATTGTATCGACCATAGTACTTACGAAATGATTACTTTTAGCGAGACTGTTGATATTCTTGTTTCATCAACTTGCTTCTCAAGGATTATCCTCGTTTAGGAGATGTTCATATATAGAGCATGCTCTTGCGTATTGAATCAACTGAGATATAAACACTCCGTATGCAAGCAGGGAATGAAGGTATATTGCTGCGTAAGTAAGGGAAGTTGACGATAGAAAAGTTCAAGTCATCACGTTTATCATATAGCTTGCTTGTTAGATTACCATCAGTGTCTTTTTCAAGTAAAGTAACCAAGTATGAAACAGAGGTGTCGGACTCTGTGGTATCTCTTATCTCAAGCTCACCAGGATATATCGTTTCGACGTAGGAATGAAAATTACCATTATTAAATGACAATACGTCATCGATATATCTAAATGTCGAGGCCTCAGCAAGTGTTTTCTTCTTTTCACGCATAATTTCTTGTATAAATTCTGCTTCATATGATTATTAAAAAGTCTGCTAATAACGGAGCGCAATTTGTACCCATGGGAATTCCAATAGATTGTTAGAATACCTGGTCTCTAAAAACCACATAGATATTGTCAATCAGAAACTCAAGTATCTCCTTGATGTCAACTTCAGAGTACTTATGTGTGCAATCAGAATCTGTTTTAACAAAATAATTTTGTAAATGACCAATGAAGAGGTAAGTAAATTTACGAGTTCCATTTTAATTGAAGAAGCAGCTGCTGTCAATGATATCACAAAGCCAGGATTTTAATTATTGTGGGGAATTGTTGTGTATAAAATTGAAAAATCGTAAGTTTTTAAGCTGTTGAAGTTAGTTCTAGCTCCCGTCATAAGGACATAGGTCAATACGTGACCTAATCACACGGCTCAATAATATCTACCAGTACAAAAATTTCAAATGACTTGCTCTGTTTGCTTTACATGTGCAGAAATGAATAAAATACGCAAGTAGGATAATAAATATATTTTACAATGTGAACAGGTATTTAATACAGTTTTTAACCGAACAAATAAACTTGTATTCATAGAGATTATAGGGCAATTGTCTCCATTCATCGGATCCATTCGTCCCTTCCCGGAGACCGAAATTCCTCCAACTTTTTACCATCAATTTTCGGATGTGCTTGTTGTGCCTTATGAGCGTTTATTTTCAATTTGCACGAATTTGAATATTCCTATACAACTATTAGTGATCACATGTAGCCTTTCATAAAAGATTCCCTTCGAAATAGAATCATTTACCTGGTGAATTCGAAGCATGAAATCCTTTGAAGCCGATTTACACCGTGCGTATTTTTGTATCTCTAGGTATTAGGCCACACCAATTTAATTTCATGTTCGTTGGACATTTGATTAAAAAAAATTACAAGCGGGCAAATGGTTAAATAATAACATTATTATTTTTTTCTGGCCAATTTTTTAAAGCGGTGCGTGAAAAAATTTGAGCGGACAATTATATTTTTTTCTGATTTACAGAGTAAGCAGATTAAAAATACAATAAATGCAGCAGAAATGAAACAGAAAATAGCACAGAATTCCTATGATGCGGGAAATTTAAATTAATATTATTTGTATCGTTTTGTTTAAATACGAGCGCGCGGGTCCGACGAACAATTTTTTTTAATGGTGTGGCCTTATACATGTATATATAAAATACTCATATTTGTCATTCTCTTCTGATTTCTACATTGCTTTCAAAATGTTTTTAAATATAAGTACAATAAAAATTTCGATATATGCCATTCAAAGATTGCCCATTAGGGTTATTAATGAATTTCTTTTAGGGTCAGTTCAAATTTAGACATTCATACATATTTAGCCATTCCAGATTTTTATTTTGGGCACCAGTAGCTACTGAGGTCTTAGCTGTCTTGCAATATTGTTTCTAAATTAGGACAGTAGGAGAATATATCATCGGTTCAATACCAAAGACAGACATGGTATCGTTTTTGAAATTGCACTCTGAAAGAAATACATAGTGATTTTAACTAGTGAGCCCCGTAAAGCGTTTGTCGTGATTAGTAATCTTTCTGTTTACTGTCTAAGATAGTTAGAAGTGGAGCAGGGATTGTATAAATATTTAAATACCTAGTGAAAGTTACTTATCAATTCTAGATTTGCTAATCTTATCTAGTAAATCTACCCAATACCTAGTAAAACTACTTTTAAGGTAGTGATTGTATGGACAGTAAATTTACTAGTCTTCTTAGTACTTCAACTAGTTTTTTTTCTCAGTGCATGGTGTGGGAAGGCATTTAAAAAACTGCAAAAAAGTGGGGAAATTCTCCAAACTCGGGGGGTGGGGGTGGGGTAAACATCAGGTTATGTTGAGAAAAAAGTTGGATGAGGGATGTCATCATCCCTACCCCACCCAAACCTGATGCTACAAGCCTGATTGTCATGGTTTTACTTTAAAATTATGTGAGCTGTCGTAGTGACTCTCTTTCATAAATTAGAATTATTGTGAGCAAGCTCATAAAATGATACCGACCCTCCTGCTATTGCATTAAATGTTTTTTTATTAAAATAAAGGACCAAATATTAATTTGAAACCTTTTGATATTTTGCTAGTGCAGATATATATACCAAAAATGACTATGACAAATACTTAAGTCATAAGTAGTAAAACCGTTGTGTTGAGCACAAACTCATATAGTACACTTTTACTGAAGTGACCTTGAAAAAGCTATGTCCTTGAGTCAAGGTCAAACATATTCCAATGAACTTTGGTCAAGGTCATGACAAATCTACAGCTCAAAAATAATTCCCGAGATAAAACCAAGTCTTTTCATTAGAATGTTACAGAATGGGCAAAGATTGCACTTTTCTTCTACCAATGACTTTGAACTTGTTCAAATGACCTTGAGTCAAGTTTTTGACGCATCTCTCGATCACAAGCAATCTTAATATCAAGTATGAAATTTCAGTGGCACTTCATTGAAATGTTATGGACAAGTCAAAATTTTACATACATATGGATCGGTGAACAAGGTGATTCCTACCCCCCCCCCCCCTTTTCCAAGTTTCGTTTGTGAGAAATATAAAATTCCTTTCGAAATTGAATGTGCATTTATTCATCAACAATAGTAAAATTATGAGTATGCATTGATCAGAACCAATATGACCAATATAATGGACACTGTACATGTATTCAAATTACCCTCACCCCTTCAAAAAAGCTTATAAATACCAGATTATCACACATTTTAACCATTTGTAACTTTTTTCTACTAAAGTTGCCTGCAAATTTTGATATGACATATAGATAACCCGTAGCAAGATCACGCCATTCATTTTTCCAGCAGTGGTTGTAGATTTTGTGTATATAGTGATAAACATAT